ATAAAAAAGTCTCAGGTTATTGTGTTTGGTCAAAGGTTTGACATTTTTGTATATTTGATGCTCAAAGGTTTGATGGGGTAGCTTGTATGCTTCTCTATTGGAAGTGTTCTCCGATTCCCAGCTTTCATGGTCATGCTCGGATTGTGCGATCGCCTCAGCTGCCCAATTTTTGTATTCGAGTTGCCTTTTCAGGTTTTCAACTCGAATCCTCATTTGGTTTCAAGACGTCATTTGTAATTTACGTCTTGAACCCCCTTTTGTTATTTTTCTCTATCATACATTAATTACACTATTTTTTACAAATAAAGATTAATCCTGATGGGCGGGATGAAATCTAAAGATAGTCTCTTCTGTTTAGAAATACATGTATGATTAGAATGAACTTTTAAGGCACGTAACGTAGGTCATGGTTCATGGTTATGAAAGAAATGGATAAAAGGCCCAAACAAGTGTTTAAAGGTGATTGAACCAAAGATCAATTCATTCTGATGTCTTCAATCATATCTTGCTCAATTTGAATCTGCTCGTATGTGTCTCTCTCTTGATGCTCTATGATCTTCGAGTGGAGTGATTCAGAAATGATTGTGCTTGATCAATCTCATTTGATGCTCTATGATCTTCGAGTGAAGTGGTTCAGTGATTCAGAAATGATTGTGCTTGATCAATCTCATAGTTTGAATCTCGATACGTCGTTTGAATCGAGAGAATCTTTGTATATGCATCTTGTCTTATTTTTTCTTCAATTTTCCTTTGTTGTTTCTCTTTGCTTTTTTTCTCTTTTTTTCTCTTTTTGTTCTGATTGAATCTTCGCACTAGGCATTTGGTTCACCTTTCGGTATCTCATCTGAATCAATGTCTTCACTCATACGAGCAGATTTTCTCCACCTTGCCCCCCAGTGTAGAGGGTGATCATTGGTTAGGGTTGAATCAGAAGAAAAATAATATAGGCTCAAAAAGGGACACAAAAGATATATATTTTCTCCTGTTGTGAAGGGGTAAAGAAAGAAAGCGGTTCATCATTTCATACATGGAAGCTTTCATATAAGAGGTTTCCCCAGGGGGATAGATTTTCAGGATTAATTTTATTCACATGAAAACAGTTAATGCATGATAGAATTATTTCGAGTGAATTCTTCTTTCTGCTTCTTTCCCCCAACATGTCTCAATGTTCAGGCTCCCTGCGAGATGCCCCAAGTTGTATCTTAGAAGAATGCTCATGTTCAAATGAACAACTCAATGCCTTGGGTTTTAGTGGTATAAAAATGCCAATTTTGAGTCTAAAAAGACAATGGTGTGATTTTATTGACTCAAAGAAAGGTATGGGTGTATCAAAAAGATAAATGTATTGTTAAAAAATTTCAAAGGGATGTAATGTCAAAATTTGGTCTTTTTGGTAATGACCATGAGTTATTTTGGGTAAAGAATCAAGGTATTTTATTTTGGGTTTTGACACAGAATAAAAAAGGTCTAATCTTGCCATATGTCAAAAATATATAATTCTTGAATAATTAAAAGAATCCTTAATTCATTTAATATTCGAAGAACTAAAGATTAAAATTTGTTCAATTGCTCCACCTTAGACAGTAGCATAAATTCAATCGTCTAAAAGATTAAGCAAACATGAAAGATCAAAGACGTGTTCAAACAAAACAATGCTCTAAGTGCAAATGATATATGCAATGTCCCCTTCTTCGGTTGTCAATGCCCCTGAATCCATTAGGTTTTGGATCTTGCGCTTCGGTGCTTTATAATTCTTTGAGGAGTATCTAAAGCTTTCTGCATGATAATTGCACACAACTTCAACATCGTAGCCCTTAGGATATGGGGATTCTGTTCTCAGATCATCCTGGCAGGCTTTGTCCTACAATCAGCTGATCAGACTCCCATTGTATTGATTTCAGTTTTTTTAATTGTTAAAATCTCGCTTGTATATGGTGTCACGTGATTAGGACCACTTCATCAAATCCTCCATGAAGAAATTTCATGTTTATGAAAATGCTTAAAAATGAAATGTAGATGCAAAAATGCATGAAATGCTCGAGACATTGATCCGAAAACATGTATGTTATCATAAATAATCCTTATTGGGGATAAAAATGTTTTATCTTTTAAGAGACAAAAATATCCTGACAGCTTCTGATATGTTGACTAGTCTTCTGCCTTCGTCTGTCACCGGTTGAATAACATGTCGAACCGCTCTGGCTTCTCTGGATGAACCGTGCAAATGTTGAGTTGTTTTTTGTACTAGTCCAAGAAGTCTTGAATGACTGCATCTCTGGCATTTATCTTCTGTTGAACATGTTCTCAATGAATACGTCATTGGAGCCCTCAATTGATAAGAACTATGTGAAATTCATTTGCCTGTTTCTTGAATTCGTCAGCAATGGTCTCCAATTTCAGCTATCATTTTACCATTGTTGTATTTGAAGGGACCCCCAAGATCAGTAACCTTCATCTTGCCCCTGCAACCTCTGCCAGTCAGTTCTTCCAAAATAGACTTTCATTGTGCTTGATGTTAACCCGGTTTATTATGAGTTCTTTATAATGCAGCAGAGTAATATACTCTTCAATTGTGGGCACCACGTCTTCTGGATTGAATGTGACACATAGTCGCTTTGTAGACTGTCCTCTGCATTTTCATCTCTTGTATTACAACCCTTTGTCCATTAATACAAATTATTTATGTCTAACAAACACGTTTTTGGTGGATCAACACCTCTTTTGAATGATGCAAATGATAAAAATAAAATAAAAATGAACAAAAATGAAAAGAGTTAGTGAGACAAAAATAATTAAATCAGTCATGAAAATAAAAGTCCTACCCCACATGATATATACCCCACATGCTCATGATTCATACCCAGATATGATCTCTATCCCGTAAGTTAATTTTGAACAAGTCCTAACCGCATAAATTTCTAGTTCACATGCTTTGCATATGAAATAAAGCATGAAATAATATCAAAACAGCCTAGGGTTTGGAAATGAGGTTTTAGGGTGGGCTCTAATTCCCTGTACTCTCTCAGTTTAGGTTCTAAAAAAAGGTACCCGAGTTCTCCTTGCGGGTGCCCCCTTGGGCTTGCCAGACCCTTAGTCCTAAGCCTATTACAAGCTTGTGTGGACTAAGTTAAACTCGAGAGGACACATTCCCTTATGTCTGTGCGGTGAATAAATTCACACGAAGACATAAGTTATATGAATCCCGAAGGCTACTTGTTAGGCCCGTGCGGTGAATAAATTCACACGAAGGCGTCGCTTTCACCCCCACTTAAATAGGGTTCAGAGTTCAGGTTTAGAGCCTTAAGTGAAAAACAAGTTTGGGAGGCTGAAATCATTAGAAAAAGGTTAGTACAACTATTTACTCGAAAATATAATCAAAAGTAAGCAATAAAGATCGAAATGTTACCTTAAAATTTAAACTTACCATTTTCGTTAAAAATACAACTAGAAACTACCTTAGTCTGACTCACTTACATGTCCCAGCGGAGTCGTCAAGCTGTCGTAACCGTCTTTCGGGTAGACCCCGAATTTAGGCTTCAACTTGTATTAAATGAATTGGAGTCGCCACCGATCATTTATTTTAAAACAAATGGGTTGATCGGATACCTTATTTCTTACCTGATCTGCGTCTTTCCAAAGATGTGTCGGATTTGGGAGTCGGTTACAGTCAAGAAAGGGTTAGCACCCTTGAACTGCCCTTTCGATACTACGCAATTTCCAGTTGTCTTAAATTAAAAAAATTGTAATTTAAAATTAAAAGGTAAAAATACGATCTCAATTACTTACCTTAGATAGTTTTAAAGGTGTGCTCTTAAGAAGGTCAAGAAACCATGTTAGATAAAAAGATAAGAAATAAATAAATAAATAAATTAAAATGAAGAAAAACAAATTAAATAAAAGATAAGATAAGATAAAGAAAGCAAAGATAAAATAGTAAGTAAAATAAATAAATAAAATATAAAATAAATAAAGAAAAAGAAGAAAAATATATAAATAAAATAATAATAAAAAGTAAAAATAATATATATATAATAAATAAAAACATAAAAAATAGTAAATATATATATAAATTAATAAAACATATAATAAAAAATAACACATATATATATATAATCTAAAAAATAAATATATATACTAAAGTAAGAAAGAAAATGCATAAAATGTAAAAAAATATTACATGAAAAAAAGAAAAAAGAAAAATAACAAAGCAATTAAATAAAATGAGTAATAAGGGAAATGTGCGTATAAATAAAGGTAAATAAAGAAAATAATAATAATTAAAACGTAAATGTAAGGGACCGAATCAAAAGGAAAAACAAATCAATGGGCAAATTTTGAAGAAAAAAATTGATTTTGGGGGAGAATTGAATATTTAAAAATAGGAACACGCCTCGGGGGTAGATCTAGGTTCGAAACTTCGAAACCCCACCCCTTTTTAGTCATCGGCGCAATCCACGTTTTGGGTTATTCGAACCAAATCTCAAGAAAAATAACATGTACATGCGAGAAATGAACGAATTAAGGTAAAAAAGATGCTACCTTTTATTTCCTTTTCGAATCGTTTACAATAGCTTTGCCTTTGTATTTTTTCGTGCTTTCCTCTGTATTTTGTATGTAAATCGTCTGTTACAATAGTGAGTTACAATGGCTATTTATAATGCTTTTGGATCCTATTTTTAGGAGTTTGAATCATAGTAGAACTCTATCTTATTTTTAGGAGTTTGAATCCTAGTAAAACTCTATCATATTTTTAGGAGTTTGAATCATAGTAAAACTCTAACGCTATGTTTATTTTCTAAATCTCACTAAATCAGGATTGTTGAGAGTGTTGTACCCGGACGAAAAGGTGTGTTGACATTAGGTATGTTCGTCTTAATTGTCAAGTAACCAAACATAAACAATATAATAGATTGATGACTAAATGAGTAGTTTACACTATTTAAATAGTCTCTTGATTGTCCAACCGCCCAAGGTTCTTAGTGTCAGTGCACTAATAGTAGACATTGTGTTTGGAATTCTGAAACTATGTCACAGGTATCGATTTTCAGGTGATGTTGCAGCGGAGGCGACGAACGACAAAGGCAAGGAGGAGATAAAGGAACACAATTTAACTTAAAACTAAAAAAAATGTTTATGATAAACACACCGCATAAGAAATAAGTTATGTGCAGCAACTTTAGGCCTCAGATTTGTAATGTTCATTGTCGTCAGATAGAATATCAGACAATGTAGGCAATTCTTAATCACCATAAGCCTCTAAAAACACAGTTTCATTACAAGCAATACAACATGAACAGAAACAACAAAGACATCAATTTAATGGAATGATTCAGTGGGTAATTCCAGCAATAAATCACCATTGACTGCAAAACTCAATTGAAAATGAAAATGTAATCGCCGAAAACGGCTCTGTAGATCACCAAAAGTTCAGATCCACAGGTTCCTATCAGAAAGCGAAACATGAGGTTTATTTCGGTCCAATCATAGCATCGCCGGTCACTGCTTTCTCGTTTTTTTGCTACTGGCGACGTGGCATCGGACCAAAACACAACGCTTACAAATTAGAAAAAGAATATGGATCCAATTGTTAAAACTTAAAAGCGTACCCTCATAGACCCGTTTGAAATCACCCACACAACGTAACAGGTTTAGAGGAGAACCCCCGCGTGGATTCCCGGCCAGTGATGGAGCACCAATCAGAGGGCTGACTTTGGCGGATGGGAAAAGGGGGACTCTCCTCACCGTGTTGCCGCTGCTGATTAAAGTGTCATAGGGCACTTCCTATCTATGGGATGTCTTCCTCATTTGGATTTCGCTCTACAAATCAATTACGATTATTTAAGCAAAAAAATAAAATAAACCTATATATACTCCATGATTTTCGTACTGAGGAAATGAAGCAGGAGCCGCGTGCTCATTTATAGAGAGCAGTGAAGTAATAAAAACCCTAGAAATATGAGAAATGGGCCCTGAAGTTGAAGGCTTCTTTGATGTTTAAAATGTACGAAACTGGTTTTAGCCTATCGGCTTGTCGTAACTAGGTCAAACTGTTTGCTCTGGTCCCGGTGATTCCAACTCAAGTGACAATGATTCCTTTTTCAATCTAAATATTCGTTTTTTAATAATTATTTACTCATTTTATTGATTAATTAATTTAAATTAAATAATTAAAAACTTTATTACAAAAAATGATATTTTGAATTATTTAATTCATTTTGAATTAGCATTTTAAATTTAAATTTTATTAATTTAAAAAATATACTATTTTAATCTTTAACTAAACAACTTTATTGTTTTATTTAGGAATAGGTATTGGATCCAAACCTAATGGACCTAAATCTATCGGGTTGAATTTTTTTTAAAAAATATCAATTTTGGATCAGGTTGAGTCGGATTTTTAAAGATTACGTTCAGATCAGATTGGGTTTGGATTTAGGGTAAAAAATTCGACTCGATCCAAAAAAATAATTTTACCTCATATATTTATGGAAAGTATAATAAAATCCTTCTATATATTATTTTCAATTAATTTCTTATTTTTATTGAATAAAAATAATATTTTTTATAAATATATTATTTCGAGTCTGATCGAGTTCGAATTTTAACCCAAAAAGATGGATCAAATTCGGGTTGGATAAAATATGTATAATTTTCAGATCGAATTCAGATCAAATGAAGAGTGCTCGAGTAACCGAAAACCCTACCATTCTCATACCTAGTTTTATTTTTATTTATTTTTATTTTTTTCAATCCTTTCCTTATTTTAAATTAGTTGGACTAATAGTTTAACTTAAGGGGGTGTTTGGTTCACGGAATGTAAGATTGCATTTGGGATTAATATTACTAGAATGTAACATTACTATGATAATGTTGTATTACCTTGTTTGGTTTGTTTAACAAAAATGTAAAATTACAGTGTTTAATTGGAGGAATATCAGATTAGTTGAATGCATATTTTATCAAATTATCCTTGTGATATATGTTTTTTTAAAAAGTTAACTTTTAATATTAAATTACTAATATTTGAATAAAAATTCATAGAAATATTTTAATCGTTATATTATGTAACTTTTGAGAAAAAACATTTAATACACAATTTGTATATTAAACTTATATTTTTAAATAATTTTCATAAGCGACATATTGATTTATATAAAATATAATACAATATGAAAAAAAATAATATTATGATCTCGAGTGAAAAAAGATATTATTTTTCAATGTATAAGATCTATTTTTTAATTGCTTAAAGTTACATATATTTTAAATAATTACATTTAAACAATCATATTATTTTTCACCTCGTAAAATTATAAATAACAAATATATTGAATATTAAAAATATAATAATATTAATACTCAAATTTATTAATATTTTACTAAATTAAACTCTTTGTATATTATTATTATATTTATAATTTTGAGTAAAGTACCAAAAAAAAGAATTAAAAAGAATCATTATAAAAAATGCATTACTCTCAGAGTATTCTTGTCCAAAGTGTTAGAAATAGTCTAATACCTAAGAACTTGGAGGTAATGACATTCTCATAATTTTAACTAAAAAATGTTACTGTTGAGAAAAGATTATTACTAATAACATTTTTGTGGACTAAACGTGGGAATATAAGTCTAGAAAAGACTATTACCCTTGAGAATGTTTTTTCCGTGAACCAAAACTCGAGAATACAATTTGTGTGCTATTTTTGTATTGATATGATATTAATATATGTATTAACTTTTTACTAATTTGAGATTATGTCAAATCATACATAAATATATGAAGTTAGTAATAAATGTTAGTTATTATTTAGTTAATGGTTTTCATGAAAAAACTATTTGGTAAAGAAAAATGTTGAACACTAAAGTACTTTAAACAATAGAAACCAAAATAACTATTCAGGTCAATTTTAAAGTTGTCTATTAAATTGTTAAAAATAGTTAGATTCTGTTACCCGGGCCGTTGAGTAATTTTGTGTGGAATACAAATATAGAAGGCATTATAGCACCAAATTTCATTTACGATTCAATTAACAATGTAAATCCATTCTAATATTCTGTGTCTGGCTAAGCTGTATAGTGTATACTAAAACTGTTGCCATCTATCCTTTCTACTTCTGCTGCCATTGTTTGCATCTCTTCATTATGTAAAATATTATGGACTGTTTTATCAATGGGCATTGTGTTCATCTATTATTTTCACTCATTCCCAGCTAACAGAGTTCGGGATGCTTTTCAACTTTTGTTTTCCTGTTGAACTACATGCTGTACGACTTGTTCCTCGTTCTACTGATATTATATTTCTGTTACACGAACCTCAGATCCTAGAGCATGCAAACTAGTTATGCTAACGGAAATATATTAGCAGTATTACATTAAACACATCTACAACTGCTGTCCTCTAATCTAAATGAGGTCCTACCGTTCCCTCTGCTTTTCCTACTGCCAGCCAGACATCACCCTTATTCATCGAAGTAGTTCTACTATCTCATATCTTCGTCTTTTGCTTCCGTTTCCTTTACACGTTTGAACATAGGTAGGAAGGCATAACAATCCGAAAGAACTTCCAAAATACATGAAACTTCTTTTCTTCTCTAAAAATGCATATATTTCTATTTAGCATGAAGCTGTTTCAGTCATCCACACTCGACTGTAACATAGCCTTATAACATATGTTCAAGGTGACTTCTTACCTCATTTAGTGTTGTCCTTGTTGCAATGCATTTGCTCTTGTTTCTCCTGTGGAAGTTTCAAGGAGTTTTGTCAGCTCTTGCTATGTAGCCTGCATGCATCTCTTTGCCTGCCCTACATCCATTGCAGTTTTTAGAAGATACATCTCGAGCTTATCAATTTGACAGAGTGCATCCTTAATACGATAAGCCGCTTCATGGACTGGCTGGAGATGACAACTTCCAGAGTCTGTAAAGGCAGCAAATGCATCTCCATTGATGCCAGATATATTATTTAAACATTTCCCTGTATTTTGAATGGAATGCACAGCATGATTGTTGTTATCTTGGAGGGTTGGCCCCATTCTAGCAACTATCGATATACCCCGAATAGATTACACCAGGCGCTCGACAAAAGGTCTGCATTCATTCAACGAATCAACCGAAGCATAAAATGTATCATTTACTGCTGGTAACATGGTATTGTGATCAGGTGGCTCGATTGACTCCAAACGAGTGAGCTGGTCTTTCTGAAGATCCCTTCCAACTTCCTTCACGATTGTATTTGTTACACCTTCCTCCTCCATAGCAGTGAATGCTGTTTCAAGGTTCGAAGTCCGCAAAGGAACACCCAATGTTTTTGTACCATTTCCGAGAGCATTTTGTGGTACATTAACTTCAGCATCTGCAAAAACAAGAACTATTACACTTGATCACCTTCTATCTGAGATATCTCAGAAACAAATACCGGATCAAATAAGATATATATCTGTTAAAGAGGGAAAACTAGAGTGTTGACTTGGGATTTGGAAGAAACAAATATATCTATGTTGTTCCAACTCTATAAGTATCCATGTTGAACACCCATATCCGGCATGGACACGGAGGATACGATCCCTCTAAGAGCATTCCCAATATACGAAAATGGCAGAATAACTGCAATGAACACATAATCAATGGATAAGAAAGGATACTGCAAGAGGTACGTACAATGCTGGGGACTCGATGTTGGTGGCCTTTTGCCCATCTTCGTAGACCTCGGCCATGAATTCGCCAGACTTGGAGGAGTATCGAGTAGCAAGAAACCACAGGCTCCGTGTCCCTATGTAAAGAATAGCAATCCTTTATCAGTAAAAAATCTGTATCCATCATTCATACCTTAACCCATGATTGGTATAATCATACAGTAGTTTAATAGTTGGAGTAGACACTAATTTTCGTCAATTTTTTATTATATATACATCTATATATTATATAATTTGTAAATGATTTTTGAAAAAATATATATATATAATATAATTTTGAAAAAATGTTTGAAAACATTTATATATTATATAGTTTTTAAAACATTTTGAAAAATATATAGTTTTTTAAAAAAATTTTGAAAACATATAGATATTATAAATTTGAAATCATTTTAAAATTTATATAATATATAGTTTTAAAAACATTTTTGAAAACTATATAATTTTGAAAACATTTTAAAAAAAATTATAATATATATAATTTTAAAATACTTTTAAAAATATATATGTATTTTTTGGAAAATTATATATATATATATATATATATATATATATATATATATATTATTGTTGTTCATTTATTTACCTTTATTATTATTATTATTATTATTATTAATCTTTATTTTCATTTTTGCAGGGTCTGGTCCAGTCCAGCAGGGTCCAATCCAACAGAGTCCAAATGAAGCAGTTATGGGCCTGATTCAACCCGTCAAAATTTAGGGTTTGGGAACCCAAAATGGTATCATCAACAGCGCCACACGAGTCAAGGAAACTAGGAAGTCAAAGGGCAAGTCGGCCGGCCAGGAAAATCGGGACTGCATCATCCCGAAAATCCCGGCCACGTGAACGTTGAGGGGAACAACCCCATTATCATCGGAAACGGCCTTCACCGAGGGGTTATAAATACCTCGGTGAGGCCATGCAAGGGGGAGGAAACAGAGTACACCGACCATCAACAGTAAGCCAACATTTTTCACTAAATGGCCACGAAATACGAACATAGAGCAAACAGTACACGAAGCATCATCAAGAGCAAACCCACATCCATAGTGAGCCACAAAGAACAAAACCATGTGAAAAACAAAACCTAAATACAACATACAGCCTCAAACCCACAACAAACACAATATCAACGAGTAAACCACAACAGATCATCATCAACACAAAACCAACAAAAAACCAACCAAACACAAGGCTCGCACCCACAAATAACCAAAACAAAGTACATAAAAAGATCGAAAGCCGAAGCCTCAACCGGAAAAGGGCACCGAGAAGGGGAAAAGTCACCGGAAAAGGGTAAGACCCTAACGGTTTTCTTTATATCTACTCCGATAGGGGGGTTGTTTGGGTGTTTGGAGTTGGTTTTGGGTTTGTGAGATCGAGGGGGTCATTTCGGGCTAGTTCAGTTTTGCCCGGCCGCCTAGCAGCGAGGGGCCACCGGAGTGGTGGCCGGATATCGGCCGGGGAGAGGCATCGAGAGAGTTTTCTCTCGTTTAAAAGGGAGAGCTTCTAAGAAAGGTGAGAATGAATGAGAAATATGTGTTTTTGGGTATTTATATACCAGGGACTACCATGTAATTACAGGATAGTTAAATCCTTTCCGCGATCCCTGTAAGTTTGAGTCGCAATTTATTTTAGTCACCACATGCAATTTGGCCGCTAAATTTTCAATTGTTTCAATTTGGTTCGCATTTATATTTTACATTTTTTGTAATTTGATCCCTAAATTCTTATTTATTTTTTTATATTTTATTTATTTTTATTATTATCATGCTTTTTAATTATTAGTAGTATTATTTTTTACCTCATATTGTTTTCATTTTACTTTTAAATTAATTTTTTTATCCATTTAATACTTCTTTATTATTTTTTTATTTAATTTAATTTTATTTATTTGGTATACATATTTTATTATTATTATTATTATTATTATTATTATTATTATTATTTCTTTGGTTTATTTTTAGTTGGATAAAAAAAATAAGAATTTAGGGATCAAATTGCAAAAAAATGTAAAATAAATTTTACCATTTTCTGGAGCAGTATAAAGAAATGACCCCCTCGGCCTCACAAACCCAAAACCACCTCCAAACACCCAAACAACCCCCTATCAGAGCAGATATAAAGAAAACCCTTCAGGCCTTACCCTTTTCCGGTGACTTTTCCCCTTCTCGGTGCCCTTTTCTGGTTGAGGCTTCGGCTTTTGATCTTTTTGTACTTTGTTTTGGTTTATTTGTGGTACGAGCCTTGTGTTTGGTTGGTTTTTTTGTTGGTTTTTGTGTTGATGATGGTCTATTGTGGTTTACTCGTTGATATTGTGTTTGTGTGGTTTGAGGCTATATGTTGTATTTGGGTTTTGTTTTTCAGACGGTTTTGTTCTTTGTGGCTCACTGTGGATATGGGTTTGCTCTTGATGATGCTTCGTGTACTGTTTGCTCTCTGTTCATATTTCGTGGTCGTTTAGTGAAAAATGTTGGCTTACTGTTGATGGTCGGTGTACTCTGTTTCTTCCCCTTTGCATGGCCTCACCGGGGTATTTATAACCACTCGGTGAAGGTTGTTTTCGATGATAATGGAGTTGTTCCCCTCAACGTTCACATGGTCGGGATTCTCAGGATGATGTAGTCTCGATTTTCTCGGCCGACCGACTTGCCCTTTGACTGTCTGGTTTCCTTGACTCGTGCGACGCTGTTGATGATACCATTTTGGGGTTCCCAAACCCTAAATTTTGACGGGCTAGATCAGGCCCAGAACTGCTTTATTTGGACTTTGTTGGACTGGACTCTGCTGGACTAGACCCTGCAAAAACAAAAATAAAGATTATTAATAATAATAATAATAAAAAAGGTAAATAAATGAACAACAATAATATATATATATAATATATAATATTTTCCAAAAAAACCATATAATATATATTTTCAAAAGTATTTTAAAATTATATATATTATAGTTTTTTTAAAAAAATATTTTCAAAATTATATAGTTTTCAAAAAAAAAAATTTAAAACTATATATTATATAAGTTTTTAAAATGATTTCAAAACTATATAATATATATATATATTTTCAAAATATTTTTTTAAAAAACTATATATTTTTCAAAATATTTTTAAAAATTATATAATATTTATTTTCAAAAATATTTTAAAACTATATCTTATATTTATTTTCAAATATTTTAAAAACTATATAAATATAAATATTTCAAACATGTTTTCAAAACTATATATATATCTATATATATATATATATATATATATTTCAAAACTATTTACAAACTATATATTATATAGATGTAATAAAAAAAGATGAAAGTATAATCATAGGGAAAAAAATAAATATAATCCAAGAACAAAGAAGCAAATCTGCACTTGAATTTCATAATTTTCTGTTCAACCAGTGGACCCAGTTTTTGTTTAAGCTGCTTTTGCTAAAGTTGAGAACTTTATCCGATTAAGATGAGAACTTTAACAAATATAAACCCAAACCTTGGAAGAGAAGAACAGAACAGCATACCGTTCTAATTCGGCAAGTATAGTACTGGTTTCCTTCCCGTTATCGTCTCTCCTGGATATTGACGGTGCAGGCTCCGTCTCCCCATTCACACATGGGTGCCTTGACCATCGCACCATTTGTAGAAACGTCCGCCTTGGGTACATTGCCGCACTTACAATTGCGATAGTACCTTCTTCCATTGTTGGCGACGGTGTGGGAAACCAAACGGTGCAAGCCACACC